TTCCAGATGTCTCAAATGCATTTCTTCATAGTCAAAATGAACAAACCTGCTATCTAAAATATACATTTCAGATATATAAAATGTATATTTTAGATAGGAGGGATATAAATTTAGATATCTGAAATAATCATTTTGACTAGGAAGAAATGCATTTGAGACATCTGGAATATATGCTAATAAATGTTTACTTTTACTTAAAAATTGTAAAGATTTCTAGGTATTTGAAAGTTTATTCTTACTGGTACAATTGTATTTTTGGCAGCCTGAAATGTATTTTTTCCTAGCAAAAATGTAATTTGGGATATCTATATGTACATTTCTGGCTAGTAGGATTGTAGTTTTGACCTAGAAGAATCTTATTTTGAGAGATCAACAAACCGAACAATAGAGAGGACTGTGCATCTAATAAATGTCAAAATGGCCTGCCATACTGCCATAGTGTATTGGGCTTTTACTTCCAGATAACTAAAATAAACATTCTTCCTATCTAAAATGAATTCAGTCAGGAATTAGCTGTTCTAATTTCAGATCTCAATAATAGTTACTGCTAGTCATAATTACAATTTTAGATATCAAAAATTAATATAACATTACAGATATCCAGAAATCCAACTGTTGGCATCTAAAATATATTTCTACTAGTACAAATATAATTACATATACCAAGTACCTATTTTATGACCTATTTTAATAATGCCTATCTAAAAATTTTGTTTTAAATATTCAAAAGAATAATGAAGCTCCGTTTTAACATAAAATAAGCAGGCTAACTATTCACATTTCTATAATAGATAGCACAAAAGCATTCTACCTATTTACAATTACAATACTCCTCATCAGAATTGAATTTTAGATATTAATTATATTACTATCAGTAAATATAAAATTTTAAGTACTCTGGAATAAAATTTGTAATAGTGAGAACTACATTTCAGATACCTATAAATCTTTACTTATTTTATGTGGTCGTTTTAACATATATTTGCTAGTATTGCAGATATCTTTAATAGTATTCCTCTTATCTAAAATGAACATTTCAGATATCTGAAATGTAATTCTTACCAGTACAAATGACGTTACTTTTTCCCATTCATGTGTATTGGGGCATTACTTTCAGATATCCCGAAATGACATTGCTCCTATCTAAAATAAACATTCTGGATGTCTGAAAAGGAATTTCAGATCTCCGCAATCAGATTGTTACTGGTCATAATTTTTATTTATTCATGTTATGGTTGTTACATGTCATTAACCTTGACCAAGGCACCTTACAGTAGAAATGCAGTCAGTTCCTGGACTGGCATGGCTATCACTGCCCCTACATAGTTAGGAACAAATTTCCCACTGGGATCAGCTTCATAGTCATGGTAGGAAACTTTTTTGATTTTATTTATTTTGCTCAGGCTACTCGTAAGCCTACAGCTCAACAAATGCTAAAAGGGCAATATTATTGCCATTACTGTTAATATATAGTAGAAATTTTACACATTTATTAATAAAATGTCACAGGGGATGGTATGGGAGATGGCCATTTAAGAAAGGGGATGATTTTTACAATTTTTTTAAGAAGGGGGATGCATTTGAAATGTATTCTGAATTAACACAGTTCATATAACCAGAAGCATTTCATCTTGCTGCTTTTCCGCTTCCACTCGTTAGTCTTAAAAAATGACCAGTTGAATAAAAGAATGTAAATTTATTTTACAAATGAAAAGAAGTTCAAGTACTTTTACAGTCTCAGAAACCAATTTTGACATTCATCTCTCAAAGGCTCTGTAAAAATCCCATTTATGACCAGTTCTATCTTTAAACAAAAATGCAGCTCTATACCAAGGAAAGCTGCAATAAATCTAACATTTAATTGAAGAACTCAATTTAGAAAACACAATGCCTAGAAGCCAGTTAATCAAACAAGCAGCTACAGTAAAACAAAATCCACACATTCCTCTAACCTGATAAAGTATAAATATTTAAACGAGGACAGTCAATTCAGACACTCCTGTCTATGACCAAAATTTATATCTGAAAACATTGTATGAAATTTAGAGAAATACAACACAAAGGTGCTAGCATGAAGCAATAAAGTAGGTCAGAGTAGGTTTATCTAGCATCAGGCTACATTTAAATATGTGGATTTTGTTTTGTACCTTAAAAAAAATCTAACATCTTGCCATACCATACAGTAAAATCATTAGGTAAGATTCATTAATAAATTAGAACTTGATTTCAGTATGGCTACAAGCTATTCAATTTATATAAATCAGTCTCTCTAGATCTTTTAAACATTTCTGAATAAACAATCCATTTCAAAAGCCAAAAAGAACAGAACGGATTAAAGAACAAGTTGCCTTTATCACCTCAGGATCACCGTGTAAAGGTGGAAATAGGCCAACAACGTGTACGGCATCTGTATTTGAGAGATTTCGGCCTGTATGATCTGGGATCCACTACATTGTTCAGTGCAGGAGGTTTAAAGGTAGCATCATGCAAGCAAAAAAGGCTGCAAATTTTTCACATGGGACCAAAGACTTGAGCTGAGAGTCCTAACAAAGATCCAGGACAGACTTGTTAATAGCAGGGTTGGTCCAATCATTTCTAAGATCATCCAAGTGGTTGTCAAAGTCAATCAAGTTCTCATAGGACCTGCCCACCAGCAAGGCAGATGTGATCTTCTGTGCTTCGTTCCAATCCTCAAAAGCATCTCTGAAAGATAGAAAATATCCAGACGGTAATTATCTTCAGTCTTTGGTTTTAAAAAAACAGGACATAGAAATTCAATCCTAGATACTTACGTTGTTACTTCCCTATTTTTCCACTTATTTTCAAGGTGATCATAGATAAACACAATAGGCTCAAAGCAGCTCATTGTTAATCTGCTGCTGTCCACCTGCAGAAATGCAAAGCCAGACAGGGATTAATTAATAAGAAGATATGATCAGAGAGATAAGTCCACTAACAGAAAAGATGATGGTGTTTAAGCTGCTAATATTTCTGGCATGTTCCAAACATTAAAGTCTGTTTAATTCAGCTGTTCAATAGGGTCTAGTTTCCCTCCAAACTGAAACACACTCATACACCATAGTGAAAATATTTCATGCCTAACATAAAAGTCAGAGCCACTTAAAACGATCAAACATTACCATAACGATAACAGCTTCGCTGAAGTTCTCAGAAATCCTGGCAGCCACTTTCTGAGCAACTTGATTTGGTCTGAATGGACGGAAAATAATGCAACAAAGGGTTTCTAAAAGGTTTGATTCCACTGAAAAAGTAAGGCGGGGTTTTAACTCGACTTACCTTGAATCCTGAGTCTGTTCATTGGCTTGATAATACCCTACAATGGTGTAGTTATTTTCTTTACACCAAGTATCAATCTGAAGGCATAAGAAAAAAAGGAAGGTTGGGTCAGCATAGGATAATTTTTAAGGACAAATAAATAAACAGAACAACACTTTAATAGACGTTATTAAATGCAGAAAGTAGAAAAACTATCCTCAGTAGGGCTGCAAATAATGATCTTTTTGCAAATCAATTAATCTGTCAATTATTTTTTCGATTAATCGATAAATGATGGGATAACAAAAGGTTCCTTAAAGAAGACGCTTTGCCAATTTAAACCAGGTGAAGCAAACTTTTCCACTTGATGGGTTCTGGATAGAGCATATTGACAGACAAAAAAGTTTGTTTTTTTTTTATCTCAAAGAGAAATGTTTACATATTTTTTCCAACTTTGGTTTAATTGCTGCTCAAGGTGGTTCGTTCCATCAGCTAAAGACACGTTTTACAGAGTCTCTGTACTCCATTTAATGATTAATTGATTACTAAATTAGTTGAAGATCATTTCAATAATCAATTAATCACTATTAATCCAATTAATTGTTTCTGCCCTAATCCCAACATCTACTACATCCCATAAAGTCATGTTGGTAACCGACATAAACTCATAGCTTTCTTCATTATATAAACAAACAAAAAAAAAATCTAAAAATGACAAATTAAAGACCTGCCAAAGATTGGAATTGGTCACTTTTTCATTTATTTTTTCTAACCCAAGTGGTTTTCAGTTGCAACAAAAACATATTTTACATTGGAAATAAGCCATATAAAGTTTAATATACTTCCATATGTGACAGTTGTGATTTTTTTAATTCAAAACTACTACTACAAAAATCTACAGTTTGCTGTTCATGTTATGATCTCAAATAAAGAAAAAAATCATGACAGCTGATAAAAGTCAGAATGGACAAGTGGGATCCAAAAGAATTCAAAATACACTTAAGTAGTCCTTAAAAACAGAAAAGTGATAGATAGATATATATAGATATATATCTATCTATATATATCTATATATAGATAGATATATAAATATATATCTATCTGTGTATATATAGATATATAAAATTGTTTTTAACCAGCTGATCTGCCACAAACTCTGAGCAATGCCCAGAGTTGAAAACTTACCAGTGTCAAAGCTACTTCCAGCATTGGTGCCAGAGCAAGAGTACCGTGGAAAAGTGGGACACAATCCACGCACAACACCGGACCACTGTGACCGTCTTTCTTTTTCTCTTTTGTCTTTTCTGCCACCAGCAATCCATTTACGGCACAGTGAGGATATTTAGCAGCGTGTAAAAGCATCTTACAGTACGCCTGACTGGTCAATTGAATAGGCATGTCTGAAAGAGAAAAGCAGGTGGAGGAACAGATCCTATCAGGGAGTCGGTGTGGAAATCAGCGGCGAAGAACGACGGGAGTTAGCTGTCGTCACTTATCATGCCCGGAGAAAAATACAACTCTACCTCAGCGGTTTCCTTTAGTTCCGAATATAAAGAGTCAAATATGCCTTGAGATAACTGTAAATACTGTTTTTAGTTAATGTAAAACAAAATTTTAGTTATGTGTTAAAGTCGATAACTCGTGTTAAGTCAGGGTGGCTAATCGTGTGCCCACCTTCCACTAGTTTGTGAAGTACCAGTGGTGCCGTAAACCTCTAACAAGTCGCCGTAAAGCATATTTTAGCCCAGTCCATCAAATCCTTTACGTACTTCCGCCTTGAGACCTAGCACTTCTCTTCAGATCGGCGGACAGGAGAAAGGGTTGCGCTGCAGGTCGTTTGTCTATTGATTTCCTTCAAATTTCTTATTTATGAAAATATATCAAGTGTATGTTGTCTTTTAGCGTGTAGCGTCATTTGTAGCATAACAGCAGGTCAAACGCGATGGAAAACAATTGCTAAATTGGGTCACTTTGTAGCGCGAGCCTAAACCGGAATGAGCTAATTTCCCGGTTAGCTGATGTTAGCATACACAATAAAGTGTTGGACAGGATGAAGATGTCGATGTAGAAAATGTTAGACTGCTCAGCCGTTGGTTTAAGGGAATTATGTGTCGGTGAACGCGTTAAGTGTTGTAGCGTTTACTTTATAATACCATAAAAATAGGTGGTGATTTTACCGGAGCGCTGTGACCTTGTGTTTGTAGCTAAAGCTAACCATAGCTTAGCCTCACGATAAACGGGAAACCTAAAGCTTGACTGCTCATCTTCGATATATATTTCAGTTAAATGTTCCTAGTCCAGCAGAATTAAATGCGAACACATTAAATGACTTTAGTGAGTTATTTTAATGAGGACTTTTCGCAAATAACAATTTAGTCCAATATAATCGAAATAATCAAGGTTATAGGATCTGTTCCGCATCTCAAACGTTAATGTAGTGAGATTCATATAAAGATTTTCCATCCTGGTTGTTAGTAAATGGCCATTTTTTATTAAATTATTTCTGAAGTTCAAAGTTGAAGAATATTTGTTGCAAATGTTATCTTATTGTCTCAACAGAATGCTGGCAACAAGAGCCCTGAGCCTTATTGGCAAACGTGCCATTTGTACATCTGTTTGCGTACGTGGAGGACATGGTAGGTCATGGTGCCACACTGAACTGAATATTTTCCTTGTCTGGCTGTTGATATAACAATAGATGGAGCAGGTGCTGGTTAAAATTTTACAGCATATGGTTTACCATTCATCATTTTAATCTAGAGTTTGTTGATTTGCCTCACTGCAGAATGTGACTGCAAGAAATTAAATATCCGCTGCTGTTAAATAAAATACATTTAATTTCTCACTTTCATTCATATATACATTACCTAATAATCATCTTACAGTTAGAGGAATACTGTAAGGTGAAATAATAGCTCCAGCTTCTATTTCTTAAAACACTGCCTCAATACAGGCCAACAGTTTAACATGTAACACCTGAAGCTCGTACCTGAAAATTTAATGGTACATGCTGACTTACGAAATGGTTACTGTATGGTTGAAATTCATGTAATGGATGGTAAGTACCTCTCCCACATGCTGGTAATGGAATGCAGGTGTTTGACAGCCCACGTTGTTGTTTCTAAACAGCATATGCCAGACTCCTGAAATCAGGTGATCTGGCTGTTATCAGAAGGGATCAAATAATGAACTTATAGCCATCTGCTGGGTTTTTGCATTCTTGGTAGTGGCGAAGCCAGCTGGAGCTGCAGTTAAATAATCTTACTGGACAAGGGGTCTTCAACCCAGGTCCTCAGGATCCACTTTCCTGCCTGTCTTAAGTGTCTCTTCCTTAGTGACCAACGTGAATAAAATATTTATCAGAGAGATTTTAGCTTGTATGTCCCTAAACTCCGCTGTGCTCTGTTATACCCTTCTTTAGGATGTCATGTTTTAGATTTTTAAAAGATCCTCAGAACTTTATTTTTATTCACTTTGCCTATTTTTTCACTTCTAGGTACCAAGTAAAAGTATTTTTGACCTTCTTCTTACCATCTGCAGGGTCAATTTCAACCAGATCGAGTAAATTAATCAAATTGCAGCCTGTTGATTTCTCATTGGTTACTTTTTTCTAGCCTGATATTCCTAATTTAATTTTACAACAAAAGCGGTATCAGACCAGTATCTTTAACTTTTCTTTCATATTAAAGGAGAAGTTCGGTTTTTTACACTTTAAGCCCATTTTCTGTAGTGTCCAGGATGAAATCGAATGATCGACACCAAAATTTTGACAATTGCTCCTGTCTCTGCTTTTTGGCTCATGCAGAATCCCCCCCTGGCTGCTTTAGAATGGCTAGCATAGAGCATGTCCGATAATGTCCTTAAAACAACCTTAAACGTTCTTTTTTTAAAATATGCTACTCACAGTGTCGTCAGCGCTGTTCAATGACGTTCCAAAAAAAGTTTCGTGAAGAAAAAACGTTCCTGTAGTGTTTTATTTAGCATTTTGTAAATCCCATTGCGTTCTGTAGGAATAGTCAATATTCCGCTGCCACCGGAAACGGAAATGGGGCCTGTTTACACAGTTGTAGTCTTTTCGCTTCACTCTGTGTACTCCGACGTCGAGGTGCTAACGTCTCTGTTAAACACTTTAAAAAACTCTGAAAATGGAATATGAAAGGTGGATTCTTGATTCTCGACGTCGGAGTACACAGAGTGAAGCGAAAAGACTACAACTGTGTAAACAGGCTCCATTTCCGTTTCCGGTGGCAGCGGAATATTGACTATTCCTACAGAACTCAATGGGATTTACAAAATGCTAAATAAAACACTACAGGAACGTTTTTTCTTCACGAAACTTTTTTTGGAACGTCATTGAACAGCGCTGACGACACTGTGAGTAGCATATTTAAAAAAAAGAACGTTTAAGGTTGTTTTAAGGACATTATCGGACATGCTCTATGCTAGCCATTCTAAAGCAGCCAGGGGGGATTCTGCATGAGCCAAAAAGCAGAGACAGGAGCAATTGTCAAAATTTTGGTGTCGATCATTCGATTTCATCCTGGACACTACAGAAAATGGGCTTAAAGTGTAAAAAACCGAACTTCTCCTTTAAGCAGGTGTTGCATATCAAACCCATTGTGAGCATTGGTGTTGTCAGAATCTTTATATCCAATAATGCATATTTTGTTTTGGACAAAATAATTCCGTTTAAAATTTTACATAAGCCCTCGTGTATTTTTCTACAGGTGTTGCTAAGGTGGAGGACTACACTCTCCCCCCCTACTTCGACAGACGGGAGATCCCTCTTCCTGATGTTGCCTATGTGCAGCAACTTACACCAGAACAGAAGTCGCTGAAGGAGAAGGAGAAAGGCTCCTGGGCTTCACTCACCAATGAAGAAAAGCTTGCACGTAAGACCAAATCACACACGGAATTATTTATTTTATTCATCACACATTTTAGCTTGAGGAAAACTTTTCTCGATATGATATCCTTATTTTTATTTGTATGGAGGGATGGTTTAAACTTGTGTGTCTGCCATTTAGTGTACCGCATCAGCTTCAAAGACAGCTTTGCTGAGATGAACCAGGGAACAGCTGAGTGGAAGAGTGTGGTTGGGGGCATCATGTTCTTCATGGGTTTCACTGGCCTGGTTGTTCTTTGGCAGAGGAAATTTGGTAAATATGGGCAGATCTGCCTGTTACAAATTTAGTTTTTTTTTTTTTTAAGTTTCAGAGGAAGAAAAGTTGTAATCCATCAGTTTTCTTGCAGTTTATGAATTTATTTGTGTATATTTTGTCCTTGTAGTGTATGGACCTGTCCCACACACCTTTGACCAGTCGTACAAGGAGAAGGAACTGCAGAGGATGTTGGACATGAGAATCAACCCAGTTGAGGGCTTCTCAGCCAAGTGGGACTACGAGAACAAGCAGTGGAAGAAATGATGGGCCAACACAAGCACTGCCTTTGCTTAGGCCTGGGCAAACCCAACTCAAAATATCCAAGAAAGTCTATATTTCTGATTTTATCATTTGTTCCAAATCTTGCAATCTGCATTGTGGAAGACCTCTTCCTCCTACGGTCCCTGTGTATATTAAAATAAAAACGTTTAACCCAAGGAAAGCTCATCAGTTATTTCTTTTATTTGTATCATTTTCCACAAAGAATGCATAACTACAAATAAGACCTGGCTTAAACAGATTAAGAACGCTATGTTTAATATAAATCCCTTCCTTGTCCCACAATGGTGAAAATCGTCTGCATTTTGACCCATCCCCTTCAGGAGCAGTGGGCTGTCATCTTGCAGCACCCAGGGAGCAATCGGGTTAAGGGTTTTGCTTACAACCTTCTTAGATTACAAGCACACTGCTCTAACCCACTAGGCCCACACTCCCCACCTTTTTTTATTTATTTTTTTTTTAGTTTTTGCCTATGTATAACTGTTAGGTATTGAAAAATGTGTTTGCCTCTGCATGCCTGTTAACGTGTGCTCTAATGACCTGGTAGGTGGGACTTGGATCTGGGCAAACATTTTAAGAGGAATCATTTAACTATTTTTAGAGTTGCTGTCATCATATTGGTATTATGAAGTACAAAGGTCATCACAGCTCAAGTATATAGTATAGAATATTTGTTGCATTATATACCAGGCAGGTTAGGTGTTAAACCAACAAAGTTGGGTATATATGTCTTACAAGTATCTTAGCTCCAGATTCTCCAACACAAACTGGACATTCTTTAGGTCAGCGTAATAGTGTTGTTCTTCTGCCATGCTGCTTTTAGATTTTTTTTCTGGCACTTTCGCTTTTCCAGAAGCTACCAGCTGACCTGAACGGAACAGCTACTGCTTAGTTTTGGTTCATCTTTTTAAGTACAAATCTGACTAAAGTTCTCCAAGAATATTGATTTTAAAAATTTCACAATAAATTCAAACATCAATTCAGGATTGTCTATAGAATTATTTTCTAAAAACAGTTTGATAGTGTATAGTACAGAATCAATAATGTGGTTTTGTTGAGCAAATAGGAAACCCTAAAATATAAATTTTGTTGGGAGGTTGAAAAATTATATTAAATCCTTAAATGTAGAAAATAATTGAATACATTAATAGAAAAGAAACATCATTGGAAGAAAAATATGCCAATCAAAATGTGGCATGTAGTGTTTGCATTTGTGCAGCTTGTGCTGAAATAAGTCTGATAGAAAATGAACTGGTGGGATGTCGGCATGGTTTGTTTGTGTTTGGGTGTTTCTGGTCTGACCGAAGCTGCACATCATGTTTTTATTGAGGAATTTTATTTACTTTTGATTAGTCTGTGATAGTATTTTTACCTGCAAGAATTAATAACTTTAGTAATGTTTGGAAAATTAGAACACTGGTAATTGATAGCATTACACAGGGGTCTTGAATGTTTTCCAGGCCAAGGAACCCCACACTGATGGAGCGGGGACCCCCTAATTATGTATATTATATCAAATTGTGTTCTATCAAACTGGTCCTATAGTCACTCTATTACATATGGAGTAATGTAACAAAAGTAATTTTGCCCTGGGATTATTAAAGTATTTCTGATTCCTGGTTGATGGACAGGTGTTGTGAATGAACTGGTGCCCAGCTTGAAAGAGCTCCTGTGTGTCGCTGATTGTGTGCATTGATGACTGAAAGATATCTTCTGCATCCATTTATCTGTTTACTACAGTGGGTTGAATTCAATTCAATTAGTGGGGGAAAGAATGCAGGGGAGAATATATTAAAGTTTAATCAACCAAAATTTTCTTGACCCCCGTGCAGTACCTCTATGATCCCCCTAACAGTGTCGCGGACCCCTGTTGAAGACCTCTGGCATTATATATAAATCTGGCCTGCCATACCGGGCGTCTTGGGCATGCATGCAGAAACGTCACCACAACCCGGAAGACTGTGTAGGATCTCAAGAGCTGTTGCTTGAGTGGAGGGGTCAAAGTAGCAATGTTGCTATGTTTATATAGACTGTATCTGATTAACCTCTTCGTTATAACCCTAACCACAGGTGTCGGTTAATTCTCTGCTTTAGGAGTCAGAACTAACGCAGGTCACGTGCTTGACTACAGGTCGATGCTTAGTTAGCGCAGCTTTTCCAGGTAACCGAACTGTTTTGGCTAACTGGTCTGGAGAGACACCATGGGGAACGGAATGAATAAGGTTAGTAATGCTGGGGATGTGGTGACTCTGTCTTTGTTGAGAAACTCATTATTCTCTATTTAGATGTCATTTCTTTATACTGTCAGTCAAACTGCTTGATGATCCAAACAGCAAAATCTAAAAATCTATTTTAAAGATTCTTCATTGGATTATTTATTCATTCTTAGATTATCTCTTAAAGAAATGCATTACTTGTCGTGTGTGGAATAATGAGCGCATTTTGGGTAAATACGATTTAGCCAGTTTTGGAAAGGCTCAACCTGGTCAGTAGGTGGCGCCATTGCAGATCTTTTTGGATAAACAGTTGAACCTTTTATTTTGTTTTCACTTGGTTTTTGTATGAAGGGCACAGAAGAGGATTAGGTTCACTGGAAAAAAAAAAAAACGGTTAACAGATGTTTAAATTATATTTCAGTTTAATATGGGAAAAAGTCTAAATTCTAACCTTTTCCTCAGAATTCTAACCTTTTTCAGAATTCTAACTTTTTTCTCAGAATTCTAGCTTTTTTTCCCTCAAAATTCTGACTTTTTTTCCTTAAAATTCTG